GTCAATCACACGTTCTTGGCGCTTGACCCGTTCTTTCTTCTCACCACCATCATGACGCGAGCAAAGTCATTGGAAGGAGGCGGAAAGCTGGCTATCAATGTCCTCTGACGAGATAAAGGTGCAATGAGCTAGGTGTTCTAATGCGCGAGGAGTACTTCGCACAATCCTTCGTCTCGGTAAACTGAACGCTGGACGCTTCCGCGTCTACGTACTATCATACTTCGGTGATTACAACACAATGCTCGCTTTACTCGTTCTTTGCTAATGGGTGCTCGACAGCTGAAGTGGCCCGGGGTAGACAAGTAAGGATGAATGGGCACAATGAACATGCTGTTTAAGATTGCGAGAAAGGAAATGAAACGGCTGTAAAGGCGAAGCTGACCAAGTCCAACCACCATACGTCTTTCAGCAGCTTCCCCTTTCCTTCTTCTTCCCACCTCGACGCGTGCGTCGCTCCTCTTTCTCTCGACAAACTACGGGAAATCAAGTCAAGACGCGTCATCGTACCAACCCATAACACTCATTACATCTATCTACCTCTCCGAACTTCGCCTCTCAACGCTTTCAACCCCTGGGCAAGCCTTGGCAATTACAACACCAACCTGTATCGTCACCAATGGCGCCTTCAACGAACCACTCATATTCCTATCCACACGACAATGAATACGATATACCATCTCTATCATCGTTATCTTCAGCCTCGATTTCGCCTCCCAATCTCCGACGATTGACTCTTGCCTCGGCGGCGGCGACGTATCCCAAAGCTAGTGCGCTAGCGAAGAGGATCCACGGTTGGACTTGGCAGGCGGTCAGTACTCGTCTATGTTCATCTGCGCGAAGTTAGCTCCTACTTACCCAGTTTCGTCGCTTCCCCAAACAGTTTCCAATCGGGATGGGAACGGGCGCGGTGTATGTGACGCTGTCTGGGCTTCCACAGCAGTCTAAGCCGCTGAGTACGTTGGACACTTCTTCGCGCAAGACTGCTATAGACTTACACCGTTTCCCGTTGGCAGTCATCGTCCAAACCATCTTTTACTTCCTCAACATGGCAATCTTCCTTCTGAACTCGTCAGCGTTGGCAATCCAAGCGATGGGTACGTTGACACTCGTGAGGCGTCTTCATTGACAGTGTTGACCTGAACTGTTCCGCCCTCGCATAGTCTATCCACGAAGATCGCTACAACTTATCAAAGACCCTGTCAAGGGCATCTTCGTGCCTCTTATCGTCAGCGGTAACCACTTCCTCGCTCGCCTACGTAGCTGAAACTCTTCTAGGTGCTTTCTTTCGCTACCATCGTCATCGGCACCATCCACTACGCTGTCCCGTCAGGACATGTCCACAGCGAGTCCATATACGTGCTATTCTGGTGAGAAGTTACGCTCTTGTCTCCTTTGGAGCCCTGTCGACTTACGTGTCGACTCTTCACACCGGATAAGGGTCTACGTGCTGTTCGCGGTGATCGTCTCGTTCCCGATGCTGATGATTTGGTTCAACCAAGGCCACGATCTCACGACGTTCACGCCGGCATATGCTTTCCTGGTGAGTAGCTCAGTTCAACCTCCAAGCACTTGAGCTCTGATATATCGTGCAGATCTTCCCTATGATGCTCGTCGGTGTCATCGCGTTCAATGTGCTCAGGACTATGGATCCTACAGATACGCGAGCGGTGGGCGTGTTGTTCGTTGGGTATTTCTTCCAAGGTACGTGCGTTGGCATCGCGGCGCATTGCTGTGCTTTGTCTAGTGCCGTAACTAACACGCTCGACAGGCATCGGGATGTTCATGACGTTCTTCTATTTGTGTATATTTGTGATTCGGTGCGTGTGTTCCTCGTTTTGATCATGCTGATACTGAGTCTTTGTCCGCAGAATCATGACGGTACTTACGCTTTCCCAGCTGAGATGGGTTCGAGCTAATTGTATGCGCCAATCTTAGACTGGTTTTCTCGAGGGTCATCAAGCTAACGGGGCGTTCGTCGTTTGTGGGCCACCTGGGTATATCTCATTTACTCACTGTCTTCCAGATTCCGTCGCTTATAGCCCATTTGCCAGGTTCTCCGCTCTTGCTCTCCTCAATCTCGGAGCTCGTGCTAGAGAGATGTACGTAGCCATGTTCAGTGTGCGGCTCGTTTGATTCTGGTCCTGACTGTCGTACTTTCGCAGACTTCCGGCTCATAATCTCATCTCGCCGCAGGCTGGCGAGATTTGGTTCGCAGGCAGTGCTCTTATCTCGCTCATGCTCTTCGGCTTAGCGGTGTTCTTCTTCCTATTCGGTCTGCTGCCGTATTGGTTCAAGCTTCACAAGCACTTGAACGAGATTCTTGGCTGTGAGTTGCATCATCCTCGTCCATCAAGCTCGACTCGCTGACCTGAAGCTGTTATGTAGGCTGGGCTTTGACTTTCCCGAATGGTGAGCACCTCAGCTCTTCGAGTTGCATTCGAACTTGAGACTCATGAAGTATACTTGCAGTCGGCTGGATCTCCACGCTTCGCGTCCTGGGCGACACATTCGACATCCCAGGATTCTACACTGTCCACCTCGTCATGACCATACTCATGGTCGTGACCTGGGTAGTGCTCTTCGTGCTTACAATCGTAGCGTTCTCTAAGGGTCTAATTCTGATGTCGCCGGACGAGGACGTGGCGAAGGACTCAATCACGATCAACTTGACGGGTCGGAAGTCGCAGAACGATGATGATATCGAGAAGGCTGGCCCTTTCTGAGCGCTATTGGCTCGATGCGCGTTGAACAGGGTTCCGTTTTCCGCTTTCGTAGATCTTTCTCTTCTTTTTCCTGTCATCACTATGGACCACTAGACGCACATCTCTAACTTTCCTTCCATCTGGTCGCCTGTTTCTTCAGCTACCACATCGGTTCCTGCTAGATGTCTTTCTCTGTCATTATTAGTCTTTTCATCGCCTAGATCACACTCCTCAATGTATCATACTGTCTTCACATATAGGTGGTGTTAGCTCCTCATCTCAGTCGGAAGTTCCGGGTCTTTGCTGAGTTACATGGGTCGCCGGGTCTTTGAGTGGCCGAGAATTGACCGAGGAGGAGGAAGCACTTAGGCGCGGGCGTCATCGCCACCTTGACCCATTTGTCTCCTCCATCATGGCCTCGACAGCTGTCCACACCGTTCGTGCATCGTTTACACACTCTTTCTCTATGTACTGACCATCTTCTAGGACGATGAGCGTGATCGTACATCCGCTTTGAACACACAACAAACCTCCCCGCTTGCCTCGGAAGCTGACTTCCCTCACCTCGTCTCACCAAGCGCAACCTACGGCGCTTCGCATCCCGACCGACCGCCCATCCTCTCGCCATCCTACTTCTCTTCCAACATCAGCGAGTTCGGAACAGATGTAACCACGCCTACTTCAACATCCGAGTTCAACGACTTTGGTTTTGCCCTTGACCGCCGAGCCAGGCTGTCGCGCTCGAACTCATACTCCTTGCGCACTGGCGCAGCGGGAGGCAAGAGTGGCTACTCCTCTGGTGTAGATACACCTTTGAACCTCGGCGCTGAGTCGCCGGGGTCTGTGATGAATCCTGCGCTGACACCGCTCAGGCCGCTGACGCCGAGTGCGGACTCGGGGTGGCAGGATAGTGGCATAGCGGTGGTGCAGACGGATGTGCCAGTTCGGTCGAGGTTGTGGAGGAGCGCGTCGTTTCAGAGGAAGAAGGAGGATGGTGATGCAAGGAGAAAGAAGGCTATTGAGGGGGGGAGGGAAGCGGATGAGTGTGGGATCTGGTGAGTCGTGTTTCATGCGCGATGCGTATTGTCTTTGGACTTTCATTTACGGTGACTCTGCAGTTTCGAGCTGCCGATAAAACCGCGCAAGATGAAGTGCTGTAGGACTGTCTATTGTCTCGAGCACATCTCGAACGTACGTCTGGCGTTCATATCCATCTGCACCGTCACCTCCCTCGTCTTTCCTTTCCATCGCTGGTGGTGGTGGCCTGCTTTGCACCTTCCCGTGATGGCGTCGAGACCACCCATCCCATGACCCTCTCATTAAACTATGACTAATCTTCATCTATCTTCTCACAGTGGCTCTATGGTCCCGAAGCCGACGGTCGCTGTCCCTCGTGCAAGATGTTCTTCTTCGAACCTTCTCGCCCATCAACGCCCCAGCACCCTTCCTCCCCAAAACATTCCGACGCGTTGTTCACGCAGGATCATCATCATAACTCCACGGACGATACCGACGGAGACGGCGAAGATGACTCGGATGACGACAAATGGACCACTGCTGGTAGTCCGGTCGATGAACGGAAGGGAAGGCACGGGGAAATGCTTGGTGCGGTGCAGGCCAAGCCGGAGGAAAGTTATGGGTCGGAGAGGTTCATCAGTCTGGTGGTGTTGACGCTCGTGTTGGCGCTGTTCATCAAGTGGATCTAGTGCGTGGGGAAGATGAGGTGGTTAACTGTTTGTTCTATCGTGTTTCGCTTGCTTTGTTCTGTGTCGTCTCACCTGTACCATGCTATGACCTTCGCTCGGACGTCTGGATACCTCTCATGCTTCTATTCTCAACGCCCTCGCTGTGCACGTTATGACGTCTTTTCCCTGTGTTCCTGTAGGATGTAATACCATTTCTTCCGTCCACCTGCTCGACCATTCGCTGCGAACATCGGCTGTGACATGCTGACGCAACATGTGTATCTCGCTAGCACTGTGTTTGTCATGATGGGTGTATTCTATGAGCATGGACCTTCCTGGAGCTGTTAGGCCCCGCATACTTTTTGAACGCGCTGAAGAATGGGCAACGCGAGCATCGATGCCAGCCACAATTCTTGCAGGTTCAACCCAAGAGACTAAGAGATCAATATCGGTCAATTCTGAGCAATGATTGTCTTGTGGTCGCATGCCAATGAGAAGCGTGCCAACTTTAAGATCGTTTGCGAGGAAGGATCATAAAGTGGGAAAGTGATAGAGCATCTCTATTGATCTGGATTGTTGAGAATAATAATTTTCTTTTGATAGAATCGAGTGTACACCAGTGGTGAAACGGTTATCATGCTTGCCTTCCATTACCGTGAGCAAGCGGCGGGGGTTCGACTCCCTCCTGGTGTAATGAAATCGCTGAAATTTCAACTTTTTGGCTGGTCATCTGTTGATTCTTTTCAAATGTGTTTCCAACAAATTTTCAACGATCACACGCAAAACCTTGTTTAACGACTCTCACAAAGCACTGTCGCACCCAGGTACTCTTTTTCTGCCATCTCTCGCGCTCATTCTAGTCCATGGAACGGACGGCTCTCACCTTCGATGGACGACGCTTGCAACTACCGCGCTCTCTCGAGAATCGAGAATTCGTCATGTCGTCCCCCGCAGATGTGCTCTCAACTAGATTTCCGTTTCGCAAAGTCGGCCAGGCTTCATTATCAAGTTGGGCGGCATGGAACTCGGAGACGAGATCATATCAGTGCAGCACTCTAGCTTGCTCAGAAGAACGGAATACTGGTGCCCCGGCGTCCTGACAAATCTCAGCGATCCACATAATACACCTCCTTGGTGCGTCTTCATTCATGAAATAAGGCTCCGCTTTGCGCACGCAGCTTACTATATAGCCTCTGATTTGTTTGTGTGTCAGCCTAACGACTTCCGTCCCATGTTTTTGTCTGATCCAAATTCCACGCGATATGCTTGAAACCCCTGCAAGAATACTTTGACGACCAGCAACAGCTCTTTGGGATACCTGTAGATGTGAATGTACATCGATCTATTCAGTACTACAGTCTAGGTCTCAGATCACGGGATAGAAGTACCAGTGCTCGCTTTTGCCTTTCACCGTCGTGTTCATTCAGTTCATAGTGCACGCGCGTGTACTCAGATATTCCACCTCTACCTCTGACGAGGCCAATTGGTTACTTAGGACGGCTGAAGAATGGGAACAGCCGGTGTTCGTACAGGCCTGAATACGATCCGTTCCAGAATTGATCTCACTATTGGTCGCTTGTACGGGGTCTTCAAAGGCATTGTCGATCCGAAGCATGCTGATATGCTCCTTGCAACTCATCGTATACAAAGTTCTTCTACGCTGAGACAATTCGAATCTCATCAAGATTTGGCAAATAGTTTACAATAAGCCGTACACTGCGCCATCTCGGCACCATGCGGATGTCGTTTGCGCCGATGTCTTGTTAGATTCCAAGGATGAACTGTTGCAGGCGAACGCGCCCGTTACTGAGATGTTTTGGATGACATTGGAGGATGGTTATATTGCTGAGCAGGTTATTCGGCCACTTCTCGACGCGCTGCAGGAGGAAGCTGAGCCGATCTGTGTGTCTTTGGAGAAGTTCCATACACGGAGTAAGCGAGGAGCGGTATGCCGGGATCATAGGTTGGCCTTCGGCCGAGGTGAGAGAATCTTTCTTGCCGGGTTGCTCTGAATGCCGCACTTACGATAACCACTAGCATCACATGGACGCCACACAGAATATTATAGATGTGAAGTAATCTGGCCAGAAAGATTTGTTCTTCGAAGGCGGGGAAGATATGGTGCTTTATCATGTCGTCATGGAAGAGATTTTGTGACTCGATACGTATACTCACGATTCATTCTGAGACGAGCCTCATGATCAACGCCAGCAGTTCTTCAACTTCGGTCATGATTTGGGCACATTTCGCGATCGATGATACTGGCAAGAGGAATCGCTATGTGTGGCTGACCATAGCTCACGACCGATATCTGATCCGGCCTCTGCATTTTCTGGTGGTGCAAACGTTCTGACCCTTCTTATCAGACTCATCAGAACAGCAGCGCCCAGTCCCAGCGTCAGTGGCAGCATGGCACGACTTCATACTGATCCCACAGACCACCATATCGGATATGATCTGATTGGACACGTTCACGACGAGTATCAGGCTGACTTCCGAGTCTAGTAACTGATTTACCTGGAGACTTGATACACCGCTATGCGGCGCCCAGTACTCAGCGATCGGAAGAGGATGAACGTGGTTTGCGATGATCTGAGCCGAAATAACAGGCACTCTGGTAACAAATTAGCAGCAGACCACCCGCAGATCCCTTCGATCGGGCTCACGCTGTCGTGTGCGTACCGGGGACAACTCGAAAAGAGTATATTACATGACGTACTCTTGGATAACAGCGATTTACAAGCAATACTCTCCGGCTAAGCCTGGGATATTTTCTACTGGTCGCGGCATCTCCCATCTCGGAGTCACCTGCGAAGAGTGTGATATGAGGAAAGCTGCTTGTATTGTATGCTGAGTGCGAACCTGGGACGCGTAATGTGGCCATGTGGTCCCACTGGCAGACAAGCTGTATTGTCGGCGTTTCCGGTTAGCGCAGGTGAGAGCCTTGTGCCTCGCTTCTTTCACCGCATACCGAGCATCCTGGTTAAGCTGTGGACTAGGTGGTCTAACTATATGGTGATGACGCTGGCACCCACATAAAACTCTGCGATGCTTTGGCACTCCTTCCAACGCCGGTTCTTTCCTCTCTGTCGCACAAGCTCCAAACGTGACATCCTTCGGGTGTTCTGCTCCTGCCCTCGAAGAACTCTATCCCCTCTCCTGAAGCTGCAAATAAGTAACACGACAGCTTGGCTCACAACCTCGACCCAGCATTCTTACGTCTGCACACTGCCCACCGCCGCTTTTGACTCCGACCACCGTGAAGATTAGTGACTCGGAGCTGTACTATGTGTCGACGAATGGCGTTAGTTTGTTTTTCGTTTCATGTGCGGTCTTCAACCTGAGCCTTCCTCGCTCTCTAGAGACGGCACGCGCTGGGCACGATGTGGTGTTGGTCTATTTTCTACTTTCCGTCTCTGCGATCCCAAGCGTTGACAGATATCATCTCTTTCACACCCCATCCCAGCATTTCCAGCGACACATGATCAACGCTATCGTCGACTGCAGTTCGTCAAGATGCACGAAGAGCTTACGCCACCCTAGGACGTGCCAGGACCCCCATTGCATTCAGGTAACGCCTCCGCTTCGACTTCCATTCCCTGATCCTGATATACTGAGCAGGTTCTCCTCCGACTGTAGATCTTCGGCGACGAGATTCAGAACGACATCGACACTGTAGACGAGTACTGCTGGGCATGTCGTTCCGCGTTGGAGAGAGCTGCGCGTCAACAAGCTCAGGGCCGCTGAGTTCGTTCCTCCTCAGCGCCTGAACTCAATCTACCCCGCATTCCCCAACACTTGCTTCTGTCAGTGTCAAACGTTCTGCTGAATTATACCTTCTCGGCCCGAGGACCGACTATCTCAATCGACATCCGTGATATCATTAGCGTAGTACTCGGCCATTCAGAAGTCTTGAATCGATGTATTTGTACCTGTGAGCTGTGTATGTATGTACCTTACCATCCAGAACAGCCGAACTCCGCCTTTCAGTATGATAGCCCGAGGTGACCGTTTTGATCTTTGGTATAAGCAGCTTGCCTCGAGGTGTTCTACCGCCAAGGTCAGATTCAACACCCAATTCGCCACAACAGTGCATGTGAGCAAGCTCGAAGTCGGTGAATTGTGTACGCGTCTAATCGATGTGATGTCTTCTGGAGATCTACCTGCATACGAGAACAGCTCAGATGACAGGTACTGAGGACACCGGGCAGTTGATCATACTCACCGTGAAGGATTGCGATGATCGTGTTTGCTGAACTATAATACGCGGACGCCTTCGAAATCGAGTTCGCAGATGGGTATCTTGAGTGAGACAGCTCATCGTTTCGGAGCTCGGCCTTCGGTGTATCGTTTCTCAGGACTTCGTACCAGCCCTTGTTCTAAGATGATTTAGTGAAAGCTGAACTTCTCGATGCGAGGAGGTGAGGAGCACTGTTGATCATGTTCGGCCGATGCTAACCTTTTCCTTGAGGACAAGTAGTATCTCAGTGTCGACCGGGGTGCCGAAGATACATGCCCACCACCTCGAGCTCAGTCATGCGATAGTGCATGAGAACCACAAGATCCGACTCGGAGTGTCGTACGTATTACTGCGAAGAACACACACACGTTCAGATATGCAAGCCGGTGTGCGTCTCATCCACAAGTCCGTCCCGTAGCTATTGCTGAGAACCAGATGTGATAAGTCGACAAATAATCCGGATGGAACCTAACGCCCTATCGCGTCTTCTTCGCCCTATCCTGCTTCTCATCCACCCCTTCCCCATGCAGATCCGACTTCCCATCGGGTCCCGAAAGAGTCGAGGCTGGTCTCGAACCCTCCCTCTCCTCCTTTCCACCCAGCTCTTTCTCTCCACCCGGCTCCTTCCCTCCGCCACGCTCCTTCTTCCCACCCCTCTCGCGCTCACCACTCGACTCCGCTTCCCTGACAAACCCAAACGCGAAGCTACCGAGAAACACCATCCCCGCACCGGCCATCATCTCCGCGTTCCACCCGTTCCCGAACCACCACACGCTGAAGCACAGACTGAGCGCTTTGCGCGTCGTTAGGACGAGGTTCGTCGAGACGGAGGAGACTTGCTGTATGCATCGAGCGAAAGTTAGAAAACGCGATTGGAGGGTGAGAGGGAGAAGAAGACTGACAGATGAAAGCTTGTTCACGCCCGAGACGCAGACAAGTTGGGAGAGGAGGTTGATGGCGAGGTAGGTGTATGGGCCTAGTAAGGGCGTTGAGGACGGAGTGACGAGGGCGAGGCTTTGTAGGCCTTGTTTGACGTCTTTTGCGAGTAGGAGGAAGATGGGGAGGGAGAGGACATGCTGTGAACGACTAGATGAGTATAGCGTGTGGTGGAATAGATGGCGAGAGACGATGCGCACTGTGTAGAACACGCCCTCTTTCCAACACGGACCGTATCTCTTGTACGTCTTCTCTTGTAGGACGCCGAGAAGGCCTGTCATAAATGACGAGATGAGGAGGAGGGAGATGCCCTTGAGGTATTTGCTAGAGTCGTCGCTACTGAGGGTGAAGCTGCCTTTACTGCTAGATGACGGAGAGCCTGGTTTGGAGAGAGAGGCGAGGACAACACCGGCTGTTACGGTGAGAACGCAGAGCTGCAAACGCGAAATCAGATGAGGTTGGAAGTGTGCATACACGGAAGTAGGAAAACTTACTCACGACTTGAGCCATCGAATAC